ACACTATTGTTACTGCAAACTATTATCAATATATCTAATTCTCAACATGGATACCTAAAGCTAGAGATTAGGGCATGGGCAGACAAGACAGATCTTTCCAGGGGTCATTTCCTAGAAAAAGAGGTGCAGGAGCTCATTAGCATAACTCATTAGCATAACTTATTTGCATATGTCACACCCCCTGACATCACCAGAAGTGTGTCAGAAGGCAACACCCACCGCTCAGCCTCCACTGGACTGTTTTGGATTGCTAGCTATGGGGGGTGGGGGAACATGCAGATTTGTCCTCGCAGAGGAAGGAGAGCTTGTACCTGAATAAAACTTGGTCTTAAAGGTGCCACTGGACTGTTTTGGGGCGGGGGGCTCTGCAACTTACCTGGCTGCTTCTTGCTCTGACTGAGGGCTGCTGGGAGCAGGGGATGGGGCTTGTTGCATGTGCCTGCCCCCTGGGCTCTTTACTGCCGGAGCTCTGCTCCTGTGTGCTCCTGCAGGAAATGACCCCTGGATCTTTCTACAAACATGCAAAAATAATAATAATAATAATAATATACTTTATTGTCATTGTACATAGTACAACGAAATTAAGGTGCAATCATTCGGTGATCTACAAGCATACTCATATACACTCACACAACCATTAGGGTTCACATTGCAACTTAACCACCAATGTCAACAAAACCACCAAATTCCAATTCATACAGCATTTAAAGCAATAATAGCTCTCGAATAAAAACTGTTTTTTAATCTGTTTGTCCTTGTTTTGATTGTCCTATATCTTCTACCCGAAGGCAGCAGTTCAAACAGGGAGTGTTCAGGGTGTGACAAATCCTGCAAAATGTTCTTTGCTTTTTTCAAGCATCGAGAATTATACAATTCCTCCAGGAACGGGAGAGGGCAGCCAATAATCTTCTGGGCTGTGATGATAACTCTCTGGAGTGCTTTCCTCTCCACAGCCGTACAGCTGGCAAACCAGGCACAGACGCAGTATGTTAAAATGCTCTCTATTGAGCAGCGATAAAAAGACATCAGTATTTTCTCACTCAAGTTATTTTTCTTTAAAAGTCTGAGAAAAAAGAGCCTCTGCTGGGCCTTCTTCACCAGAGCAGTGGTGTTAGTGCTCCAAGTCAAGTTCTGCTCAATAATCACTCCCAAAAACTTAAAAGTAGCCACCCTCTCCACACGTTCTCCACCAATAAACAGTGGCTGTATGTCCGTTTTGTTCCTCCTATAGTCCACTACCAATTCCTTGGTTTTGGTGGTGTTGAGGATCAAATTATTTTCCCTGCACCAAACACAGAGCCGTTCCACCTCGTCCCGATAAGCAGACTCATCATTCCCAGAGATGAGCCCTACCACAGTGGTGTCATCAGCAAACTTGATGATGGTGTTACTGGGGTGGGTGGGGGTACAATCCTGTGTGTAGAGGGTATAGAGCAAGGGGCTCAATACACAGCCTTGTGGAGAACCGGTATTAAGGGTAAGGGCTGTGGACATATAGGACCCTACTCTAACCCTCTGGGGGCGGGCTGTCAAAAAGTTCAAAATCCAGAAACATATGGAGCTGGAGAGTCCAAGGCCCTCCAATTTGGACACTAATCTATCTGGGAGGATGGTATTAAAGGCAGAACTAAAATCCACAAACAACAGCCTCACATAACTCCCCGGCTGCTCCAGATGTGACAGAGCAGTATGCAGAGTAGTGTTGATGGCATCCTCTGTGGATCTGTTTGCCTTATATGCAAACTGGTGACTATCCAGTGTAGATGGAATACCCCAGGTTTGCAAAAAAATCTGAAATTTAAAAAAAACCTTGGGCCAGTTACACGTTCTCAGCCTAACAATACCTCACAGGGTTGTTCTGAGGATAGAATGGGGGCGAGAAGAACGGTGTAAGCGGCTCAGAAAGGTGGGAGTATAAATGAATTAATATAGCTGAAGATGAGAAAGGGCAAATAAAAACTAGGTAGATGAGAAGGAGAGAAGGAAATGGGGCAAGGATAGGGGGGTTGCTAGGAAGACAATGTGGGGAGAGGGATACAGGGGGGGAAATAAGGTGTTTCCTGCACGTTTTTACAGTCTCCCCACTGAGCAGCTGGGCACAGCTGTGCCCACATGGCATAACTGGGCCAGACTTTTCCCAGATAGCAGCTGCCAGGGAGAGGGAAGGAGTTGAAGCTGAAGATGGGGGGAAGGAAAGAAGGAAGCAGGAAAATAGTAGAGGCTTTCAGGGATTGGAAAGTGGGGAAGGGGGGGAAATAAGATGCCCCCCACAAGTCCTTGTGGGTCCCCTGCTTGTCATATCTCATTCCATACTTGGCTGTAGAGTGTAGATCAACAGATACATAAAACGGCACTGGAAGAGATGGGATTTCTCTACAAACCTGAAGGAAGTTCCAGATTCTCAGAAAAATGTGAAAAGGGGCCCCTCAGTGGCCCTTTTGGAAGTTGCTATTCAACCACAATAACACTGCTGAGCCTTCTAAGCTTTGGAGGGAGTCATTTGAGGTCAAAGCGATACTGGAGAAGGTCCCATTCTAAGAAATTTAAGTAACTGCAATCCTGTGCAGAGTTACTCCAGCATAATCCCATTGGAGTTAACGGTAATCTTACTAAATATTTTTCTTTTGAATAACAGTTAAAATAGATCTGCAGTATGAAATCACAAAGTTTCCGAGGGAAGTAACATCAATTTAATCACCTGCCAGAAGAGGGTCAATAAACCTTCAGTTTATAACCTGTCCCTCAGGAGAAAGTCTGCTGCAAAAGAATGGTTCCTATAAATGTTGGTGCTTTCCAAACTGCCTCAGCCAATACATTTCATTTTTTTAAGTCTTTTTATTGGTTTTTAACAATAAAACATTTCAATAACTTTACATACAAAGTGTCATATATGATTACCGCTAGAATTGTCTTAATAATAAAAAAATAATGTTATTACATATGAACAAGATAACAAGTTCAGCTAGCATAACAACAGTTGCGTGGAATATTTAACTAGATTTGGTAGCTAGATGACTGTGGACAAGAGTTTCTCTTATTCATGCAGAACCAATTTGCAATTTGCACTTTAATATATGTAGGCATTGTGTGTGTAATGAAATGAAATCAGTTATTGGCTTAGTATGCTCAGATATATGTGATTGTGTGGTCGCAGATCTGAGGCGAATAGATATTCCATGAAAGGTAGCCATTTTTCCACAAAAGTAGACGGCTTAGGATAAAGTTCTGAATGACAAAGACGGTCTGTTATTTTTTCCATTATCAATTGATCCCAAACTTTATTCAGCCAACATGAGCGAGATGGGGCCTTGTCTGCTTTCCATTTGGATGCAGTCGCCGTTTTGGCTGCCACTATGAGACTGGTGATTAGTTCACGATGGAGGGATGATATGTCTTTTGGATTCCATAAGTCTAAAAACAGAATTTCCGGATCAAATGGTGTGTCATGTCCGGTGATTAGTTTGATCTGATTTAATACATCTTGCCGGAACTGTTGAATGTGGACACACTGCCACCCGCAGTGAGCAAATGTGCCGATTTTCCTACATTTCTTCCAGCAGTAGGGCGAATGGGATGATGTCAACTTAGAAATTCTTTCCGGCGTAAGATACCAACGCGTAATGATTCTATGGATCTACAAATCTTGTTGAAACTACTGGTGAGGTCACCAGCTTAGATTTCCAGATCTGTGACCACTGTTGAGCATCCTGTTGCCATTTCAATTGATGTTTCATTAATAGATCATCTTTTTGATGAATCAGGATACCATACCTTTTGGATATTAAGCCTTTAGATGTTTCATTTTTTGGGTCTATAAGTTTCTCAAACATGGTCATTGGTTCTCTTAGGAAATAATAGCCAATACATTTCATAATACGGGCAGCAAGTGAAAAAGGCCTCCAAATGGGAGGGGGCCTAGATGGAAAGAAGCTGGATCCTGTTGGCAGTTGAATTCTGCACTGATTGGAGCATCTGGGTTGTCTTCGAGGGCAGCGCCACATAAAGCATGTTGCAATAATCCAGTCTTCTAGTTACAAAATCATGGATAAATCACTAGGTCAGTATTGGGGGCAGGAGGCAGATTCCAAATCGGGTGTTGATAAAAGAAGTATTCCTAGCAACCCCTACAGCCAGCTTTCACATGGGTAAGGTTAAATCCAAGAACATTCCCAAATACTTTTACCTGATCTGCGATGGATAACTTCACACCGCCAAAATCAGTTAGTGGATCACTTCCAGAACCTCTGATTGCCCAATCCAAGTAACTTGTGCCTCATCTGGATTCAGCTTACTCCCATTTGTTTACTTGACTGCAGCTTTGAGCTAAGGGTTTAAAAAATAAAAATCCTTGCTTGTGTCTGTGACCATGGACTGATTTTTTGTGGCACCCCTCTGATGCCCCAAGCCTAGATCCAAAGCTGTCTGAACTGCTCTAGGCAAGCATTTTTTTAAGGCGCTCCTAATGTTCATGGAATGAAAAAAACCCGAACCCAACAACACGAAAATCTAGGAAGAACCAGCTCCTTATTTCTGTTTCTGCCAGTTATGCAAAGAATCACTTAAAAAATGTAGTATGGATGGGTATGAGGTACATTCCAAGAGTATATTAACCAACCGCTCTCAGGATAGTCATGTATGTA